TTCCTTCCTTCCTTCCTTCCTTCCTTCCTTCCTTCCTTCCTTCCTTCCTTCCTTCCTTCCTTCCTTCCTTCCTTCCTTTTCCATTCAACTCAGTGCCTCAAAAGTGAATGTCCTAATCATCACATCCATGAGATCTCATGAAGATCAAAAATCTGGAGTGAAAGGGCTGAGGTAGCACCCCTACACGGGATCATCCCTCCACTACAGGGAGGGATTTACAGAGATTCCTTTAAATCAGGTGCCTATGCCTTTACAGCTAAACACTTGCAAATTTCTGGGCTATTCAATTGGTCTAACTCCAAATTCCTTTTATCATGGAATAAAAATACCAGTACAAGTTCTCCAGTCTCTGGGCAATGCCACAGAGCTACTTAAAATATTCCTGTGCCAGGGAAGGCACAGGTATGATCCCATCTGAACTGTAAACAGCCCTGGAAATCGCTTGGTAATGCATCTGGGCTAGAATATTTTTAAAGGACCACTGAAAAATGCTCAAGCAAGTCTGAGGCCAATCAGAAAAAACAACATGAAATGAATCTTGCTGAGTTGCTTGCAAAAACCATTTGCAAAACCTGCAGATTGCAGGGACTTCTCACTGGAAGCCCCTTCCAAAAGCCCTGAGAAAAGTTGGCGTTCGTATTCCGGAGATCAGGGGTGACACAACAGCACACAGCAAAGATTTGACAAAATTTAGACAAACAATACTTTTAATGGAGACTTTTGTCTGCATTCAATATTCTTTCCTTTTACTTTTCCTAACTGATATAGATGGGAAGTCTATATTTAAAGTTGCACAAACTTAGGATTTTACTTGTTATAAATATGGCAGTATTTTAGCTAGGATTTTCACACCTTGAATGCAGAATTTGCTTATGGTCTTTTCATTATTTTAAAAATAAGACAACATTCAGTTTGCTTTATGAAATTTCATTTGTGTGCAGATGTTTGTGGGAAAGCAAGAGAATTATATAAGGTCAGTGTAATGGACTACTGATGACTGCCTTCAGTGACAGGAGTTTTCTCCATTATTTACATACAGTTAGAATAAGGATGTATCTTTCTTCCTTATGAGAAAGAACGTAAAGTTTAATGTTGAGTTCAAAGGATAAAGAGACATTGCTAATGACTGGGGAAGTTGGCTCAGATTGTACAACAACAATGTCCTGCAGGTGAATATTTCCAAAAAAAAATTCCAGTTTACTTAGCATGTTCCATTACTGCTTGAAAGTGCTGGAGAGCTCACTCTTAATTTGTCTCAAAGTTAACTTACGAGCGTGTTTGCTGTGAAAGGTCTTACTTGAGCTAGAACAGTCTATGATGTTTATGTGCCCAGACGTATTTCATTTTAGAAAGCACTTTAAGCTATTTGCAATTGTTTTGGCTGGAAGGACAAAGGAAAGCCCATCAACCTCTGCTTACCCTTAGAAATGTCAAAATCATTTTTAATTCAGCCACAATAGGCATGATGGTAGATCAGATTTAAGTTTGCAGGAAAGAATGGCCTTCTATACGATGATTTTGAGAAAAAAAAAACACAGCAGCATGACAATTTCATCAATGGCTGCTCAAAGACCATTAAAATTATTACATTAAAATATTAAACATTAAAATTTTAACTTTTCATAATTTTATAAATAACTCTGGAAAAGAAATTCCAGAGAAACATAAAACTGGAATTGAAGCAATATGAATGATTTCTCATCTACTGCTTGTTTAGTAGCATAGAAATTGTCCAAATGTAAATAGGAGATTCCTCCAGAGTTTGAGTAACCACTAGCGGAAGCAGAGATGAAGCAATTGTATTGGAAGGTAAAGGTCTCTAGTTGAGTGTTCCTTGAAAAATGTGCTTTCATAAGCACTGGAAGACCCCAGCCTAGCCCAAGATTTATAAACTATATAATGGGATAGAGTTTTTTTTTTTTTAATTCAGTTGAAAAGTGCAATCCACTTATATACACCATTTAAGTAAGATTAAAACAATGTTTCAAAACAAACACTGCTAACCTTATAAAATTTACTCCTTGATGTTTAGAGAGACTGGCATACAATACTTGGCCCTAAAAGACAAAAAATGTTTTGGGAGTAGGACGTGGTCCATTGGCCTGTAACTACAGCTTTCAAATATTTCTGTGATCCTATGATCCTAGCTTCCATCCTCAGCAGCCTTTTCTGACCCACCAGAGAGCTTGGGACAGACTTTTCAAATTGATAACAATACTAAATCTGGGCAAATTTCTGAGGCAAACAGAATAGGCTTATTTCCAACGTAAAGAGATTAAAGATAGATCAATCATTCTTACGCATTCCAGTCCCACAGCTTGTTATTTATTGCTGTGCTCACAGCTGAACTTGATTCCCATTTTAATGAAACAACAGCTTTCTGTTAGAGTTCTTTTTAGATAAAATGTTCTGTGCATGCATAGTTAAAAATTAAGCAGCCAGCAGATACACAGTAAATAATACAGAAAGCGGAAACAAAGGGAAGGATGGATGCATTCTATACAAACCTCTCTTCTCTTGCTTGTCTTAGTTCTTCTCTTTTGTCTAAATAATCACGGCTAAAAGGAGAGTTGTAATAAGTTGCAGAAGAAATCAGAAAAATAATGTCAGTAACAGAAGTATATTTATATATATACAGTAGGAGAAGCCAAAAGCAGTACAAAGAGACTAAGCAAAGACAAGAAAGGCTGTTTTCAAAAAAAAAAAAAAAAAAAAATTAAACTTTGCTTTCTGAAAAAAAAAGCTAAGAAGTATGTATGCACACTTCAGCATGTCAAGACCATATGTTTCCACACACTGAACGTGTAGTTGGAAAGGTTTAAAGAATTAAAGAGTTTGAAATACATATCAAAACCTGCTAACTAGAATTAGAGAAAATTGGATTGTTAATGATGAGAAGGACCATTAGAGATTATTCAAAATTACTAATTTGCTCCATCTCAAATGCTCTGAAACAGTGACTACTGGAATATGGTAGGCTAAACCAAGGCATGAGGTACACAGCAAAGGTTCTGAGGCACATTTTCTTAATGTAATTGCACCACAGTTAGAAACTGAACTGGCTGGATCTTTTTAATTATCTAGTAGGCTAGTTCTTCGTTCTTAATATGTATATTTAGAATATTAGGACAGATAACATCGTTATTTATTTTTCTCCCTGAGTTTTAGATATAAATCTTGTTCTATCTCAGGTGCCCTTTCCACTGCTCCTCAAGCAAATTATATATTTAACTTCTGCCATGTCAACTTCACTTGATGTGTGGGAACTGTAATGTCAGGTAGAAGTGTCAAATCTGCAGATGTTTTTAGTGCAAAATTACTTGGGAAGCCCACAACTCAGAGAACAGCAAAACCCAGTGAATATCCAGTCCATCTCAAAACCACAAAGATAATTCCTTACATTACATTTTTAATATTTTACTGAATCTTATGGATAAAATTGATGACGCTCTCTCTTAGCTTCTTTTGCAGTCTAATCAGAATAATTTTCAAAACTCTTCCATTTATGGATGAAGCACCATTGTTTATCTTTACATGGTGTTTTTGAATGAATTACTCTTCTATAATACCAATAGCTATCAAACATTTACTGGTAACTGCTCTTTTAAGTTATCATTAACATATAATACACATATTATTTTTTCAGGCTATCTCCAGATATTTCAGAATTTGGTTATAGCTTCACCACATTTTAAAATATTCCTTACAATTATAATAGTAATGGGAATAACTCCGGGGAAAAAAAAATATGCTAGAATATTTTTTCAGCAGGAAAATGATAATAATAGTACCATTATTTTTTCCCCTCTAACAACTTTCACCCTTCCCTGCAGCTGAAGAATAACACTTGTACTTCAGGACATGGAGTTCTATACATGCCATAAAATCAACAGTCCATTTACTGAGAAAAATATTCATTATGCAAAGCATTGCTTTTGCTAGCAATAGCCAATAAAGCATTTTAATATCTTTCTCCCCCAAAACAGTTTGCATAACTGGTCGTGCTCTCTTTTAAATTATCTCCAATTTGTCAATAATGGTGCCAGAACCTAGGGCAACATTCTCAAAGTAGACTTGGAAAGAATGAGATAACAGATGAGTCATGATGGTAAATCCAGTACTGCTCACGAGTTTAAAGGTTGTGAATTGGAAGTGCTATTTTTAATCAAAAATACAACTTCAGAGTCTCCAGCCAAACTGATGGTTTGATAATGTAATCCCAAAAGAACTCTTATGAAACTGTCTGTGATTATTTGCTGTGTCTTTGTCCTCCTCCTGCCAGACTGATTAATCAACTGTGGGATGCTGCCTGCCTGCAAAGATTGGCAGCTTTAGAGACCCTCTACTCAAATAAAAATTTTAACTTCAGGGTGAGCCAGGAACTCAAAACTTCAAAGTGAAAACATTGGGCATTCAAAATTAACTGTCTCAAGTACATATGATCACTTTAAGCAGTTTCTGATTCTGGACTAATGGGATGAAGACACGGACTTTTTTTTTAAAAAAATGTTTTTCTGACTTTAAGGGAGCTCTTTCAGTGACAGGACAAGAACTGTAGCCAGCCTTTAGTGAAATGTGCAGACCTGCTATTCAAACAGATCCATCTGCCAAATATCCTGGTGGTTTCTTGGTCTGGGAGTTTCCTTTCTGAAATACGATGTTTTCCATCCATGACAGCCTGCAGCAGCCTGATGATACCACTCAGAGGGAGAGTTTTTGGAAGAGGCTGAAGATTGAGAGCTGATTTCTGTTTCTGTTTCGGGAGAACTTGGGTAGCTGCTGGCTGCCAAAGATCCTATTATGGTGCTCTTCCACCTTCCCTCCTGCTCTTATTTTCTTCTAAACTAGCTGTCTTCTGCAGCTAACAGAATACCTCCTTCCAATAGTAAGCTATCCTCTTTCCAAATTCGCTGTGACAAAGATCATTTTCACTTCTTATTCAAGAGATGATTACACTGAAAACCAGCTTGCACACTAATAAACAAACTTGCAGGAAAACATGTGCCATCTTTTCTATAAATACCAATTCTCAGACTACAAAACATTTATCTTGCTGTTCTTTAGATTAGTACAGTCTTTCTACTAACTCCTAACGAATATTATTTAATCTTCAGTCTCAATTATGAAAAAAGAAAAAGTCATTTTTTAATCCACACTCTTTGGATCAACTAAGACAGCAGCCAAACCACTTGAGCTGTAGGTACCCTATCTATCCTAAGCCCACTGCAGTCTTTGCTAATGCCTGTACTGGGATTTCCACATTTCTAGACACGGATTTAATAGAGAGGACTTGTCTCTTACTATCCTAAGGAAGCACATGTTGGCATCCCACAGCATATGACAAGAGTTCAGATGAGAAACAGGAGTTCCTATACTCAGCTTCTGCCTTGACCTCTGGGATTTCATCACTGTTTGAGCAATAAATCAATTGCTTTTTCCTGGGGAAAGATATGCCCACTCAAAAAATGAGGGAAAAAGTGTAGCAACCTCCAAACCACCATGCATTTTGAGAAGGCAAAATGCTTTGCAAAACACAAAAACAAAAAGATGTCTCACTGCTGTTCCTTTCTCCACTTCCTTATGCCTTCCTTCCGTTCTTTCCTTCTCAATTCCTTATTGAGATTATACTTTGAGAGGGAGCATAGTATATGACTAACCTAGGCCTATGCAGATATTCAGTTAGTGAAATTAGCTTGGCAAATATTGGCTAAAAAATATTTATTAATTTATTTAAATGCTGAAATTCAGGATTATGGATTTAATATGGCAGCCCTTAAATACTTGTATCAAGAAAAGCTTGTAAGTAGCTACATGCAACCTATTCATCAATTAAATTATCACAGAATCACAATGAATTATTTTGCCATTATGCAAATGATTTTGCCATTAACTAAATGATTTACAACTTATCACACATTAAGGACAGATCAACAGGAAATATATTTCCTACTTGAATTTGTTTCTTTCTTCACGTTCTATCCTTTGCAATCTTTCTTCTCTCTCCTGACGTCGTCTTTCTCTTTCTGCTGCCAAGGACTCTTGGTGCTGTCGAAAAGATGATGTAAGGAGACCGCCCAAAGCTGGCCTGCAGAAACAGAAGATATTTTTCAGCACCACTTTTATTTATCATACTGACAAAAATTAGAAGCAATCGTTCAGTAAGTTAGATAATCCCAACCATTAGAATGACACGTCAAAAATCCAAATAAATACCTTCTCAACTAATAGATTTTGATGCTATGATGGGCTTAAGAGCTGTGCATAGATGTAGATTTCTTTTATTGCTAAATTTCTGAAGCACAAGTAAAGTACTCTTAAGAATCTATCAGCATATTTCAAATGCAATATTGTCTAAATCAGATTTTTACTTTTTAATGCTAACTGAAAAGCTGAATCCTGTAGCAAGATTTTGAAATTTGAAAGGAAAAAAAAAAGCTGAGAACTCTTTCTAGCACTTTCCAAATATGTTAAGCAACAATGTTAAAAACAGATGTGTTAAACACCTGAGTGTCCTCTATTCAGAAAAGCAAAAACTAACTGGCGAGCTCAGAGCTGCACTTAGGAATTTGAATGCTCTCTTAAGCAGTGGCTTATTTTTCTTTCCTACATCCCACTCTTGCAATTTCCTTGCTGCATGTGCTGCACAGGTAAAATGCATCACATGTAGAAAGATACCGATACCATACATAGGGACAGCACAGTTAGTTACCACAGTTGGGCATTAGGGTGGTTACCCAAGCAGGATTTAGTCTACTCAAACCAGTCTCAAAAGCTGTTCATCTGACCTGCCTTAAAAGTCCCTAAGGCTAGAGCTACCAAGGGGCTTGGTTTTCATTAACTACTCTTAGCAGCACTAAAGGCTTCTCTGATGTCTAACCTAAAATCCTTTCTGGCTATTTAGGCCGAGTTTTTCTGGCTTTAAAACAGCTTTAATCAGCAAATACTCTTCAAATAAAAACACATTTATTTACACTGGCAGCTTTGTTGGGACATATTTTATTTTTATTTATTTTAACTATATAAAATGCTATGTCTAAGAGGACAATTGCTCTTACACATCTATTTCCCAAAAGGGTAGTATTTCTACTACTGCCTCTGCTGTGACAACAGACTTACCACAGCATAAACATGCCTTTTTACCTGTCTAATTGACAGAAGAAATCTATATTGTCTCAGGGCAGATTTCCACAGATGTAAAAGCATACCTATTGATTGAATTAGACTGAGAAAAACAAACAAACAAAGCCTGTGTAGAGGGGTATCTTTGCTTTAGCCTGACCTGAGTTTTGGAAAGGAAAGAAATAGAAGCTCCCTTTTCAGAAAAACAAAACGAAATCTGTCTAAAGCAAGGCTCCCAAAGCAGCAATACAAGTCCTGACTAAACTGTCATTATTGTTAAGCAGCCCGATCATGTCCCTTATCTTTCTACTTGCCATGGCTGCACAATGTTGGCATTTAATGTAATGGCATCACCAGTGAACGTAGAGGAAGGAGAAGACAAAAACATTCTGGCAAAACTCTTTTCTGTGAATGTCTATGTTTATGCAAGCAGGAATCCCACAAACAGTCATTTCAGCCCCACTAGCAGCATGACCGGGTGAAGAGTGTTTCAATAATTTCAATAAATTGAATTTCAATATGTCATCTCCCACCCGCATAAACATTACATAAGATGGTATAAAACTCGATATTCTGTAAGCCGCTTTTCTGGAAGTCCTCCAGAGCTCCAGTATCAATGTTGGATCACATTCAAAACCATAAAAATCTGCAATATACCTCATCACTATGAAAAGAAGAAAAAAATCCCGAGTCAAGTGTGTGTGGTGAATTTTCCCTTGACCGTATTTTAAATTCATTCTAGTCTTCATCCTTTTAGTGCACCCTATAAGAAAAAAAGCTGCCAGCAGGAACAGCGGCCTCACTGATTTAAAGATTTAAAAGGCAGAGCTTCAGTCTGGTGCTACTGTGAAAAAAACATGGAAATAATGTTGGGTGCATCCTTAGGGCTTGCTCTAGAAAGTGGAAAAGTGTACAGTGTCTCTACACAAAGAACTCTGGAAGTTAACTAGAACAGATAGCAAAAGATGAGTTCCTATCAAATCTGTACTCATCTCTGTTCCACGTATTGATGTGCATACACATAATGCATACCGACTTATACACTTTACATACAGTAGCCTTGAAGGTTGACATCTCTGTTTAGAGTCAAATGGAGTTAGGACTTAGTAAAACTTGAAGGAAAATTGAGGGAAAGGGTGAGGTAATATTGAGAGAATCAAAGAAGGTGAGAGCCCAGCCCATTTTGTGACTGTAATTGTGCATGGGATCCAGTAGGTTGAAGACCTTGAATTTTAAGCTAGTGGCAGCTCAGCAGTAAATACAAATACTTATTATTACAGGGAAATCAAATGGAGATACAGGATTCTAAACTAGCCCTAGTATTATAATGTCTCCAGATGCCAAAACATCTTCTTTGGAGGTTTGATCTAGCAGAGTCTGGCTAGTATTTTCATCCATTTAAAATCCGCAGCTGTATGAACAGCAGCTTCACAATTTATACAGGAAATTTATAGTCACAAAGACATAAAAAAAAAAGACCAACATCTAAGAGACTACCAAAAAATAATATGTCCTATTACCTTGCCACCTCCAGAAAACTGTTCAAATCTGTAATAACTAGTCAACTATCTTAATTTTTTTAATTTTCTGCATGTGCAAAAGCTCAGTTTAATTGAAAATGGGATTTGCAACTGACAAACTAGCTGGTGGAAATGCCTCGGCTAAATCGTTAAAAAATGTTGGCATTTCAGCACTGTTTGAAGTGTGATGGTACCTTCTCTCTGTCTGTGTTGTAGGCTGCATTTTAAAATGGGCAAGTAAGGAATAATTTTAAAAACAAAGAAAGAAACAAACAAAACCCGAAAAACAAATCTGGCATGGATTCAAAGGTGCTACAGTGTTTTAAAGGAAAAGAATATGGGAATACTCAATATATGTCCTCATTTTAATGTTTGTATCATGTGTTACCAAATAATAATAACAAATATTTACTCAATTCTATAATACAATCCAGAATCAAATTCTGACAACTATTTTTAGTCCTTTAGCAAACAAAAAGCCAAAGTAAGAATGAACTGTTAATATGAAAATATTAAGAACAGCTTTGTTAAGCCTGCTGTTAAAATCAGCAGAAGCTAAACAAGGAATGTTATTCTCATTCCAGAAAGAAAACAGATAGCAAAAATACATTTGAAAGTCTAGGGATTTGTGAATAAAACTCCATAGCACAGGATTATGAACTGGGGACAAGAAGGCCTGTAGTTATATATCTTCTTGTTGGAAGAGGACAGGGAAGAGTGGGGGGAACAAAAAGTGGAAAATAATGTGCATATACCTAATACACCTAAAGCTGGAGGAAAAAAGCAAAAAGTCTGTGCACTAAAACTCTTTCAAAAGAAAACTCTGTTAAATTTACTGACTACCTTTAACACAACAATGAATTTATAACTATAATTTTAAAAAGGCTAGTGAGACACAAGATGTCACACTTTTTTGCAAGTACTAGCACTTTTTTGTGCCTGCTGCAGTCTGCTGCACACTAGATAAAACATACTCTATATCTTGTTTAAGTGAATAAAAGACCCGAGGTATGACATTCCTATTGAAAACTGAAGAAGGAGTTTCTGTCTTATTCTAATCGTTTTTATTATGGCAAACTTGCAATTATCTACCTGAAGTGTTATCACTTAGGCCAACTTCGAAATATTCGTCTTTTGTGGCTACATTTCCCCTGCTAGTTGATTTTTTTTAAAGTCACTAAATGGTTCTGTGTATCTACAGCAAGAATACAAAACATGGATGTATATATTAGCAGTTGAAAAAAAAAAGAGCAATGACTTAAAAGAGGAAATCCCCTTAGATCACATGGGTAATATTCAGAATTTTCTTTTAACAAGGGCCAGAATCATTAATAATCTTAATAAGGGTGCACTAATTAGCTGGGTATTTGAAGGCTCCAGTGGTTCTGGGAACCTTACAAGGAGGGAATCCCAGCAGGCAGCTCCGAGTCTAAACCAGGGCCCAAATAGCTCTAAGTATCTCTTGGCTTGAACACAATAAATCTGCCATCCAGCTCAGAGAGAGACATAAGAAGAGGCAGCGCTGCCAAGAGCCATATTGCTTTTCACAGTTAAAGGCACTCTCCTCATGTTATGTCTCTCTCCATGACATGGCAAACTCTAAAGTGTGTTGATACAAGAATTTGCAAACAGACTAAACATTACTCGGGGAATCTTTACAAAACTCCTCTCAAAAATAAACAAAAAATTGAGAGATAAAACTATCAGCTAAAAGTTCCTTTGAGAAAGAAACCTGAGAAGTGCTGCAAGGAGAAGTGATTAACTTGAGACTTTTAGCTGGTCCGCATGGCTGCAGAGAATGGTCTGCATGGCTGCAGAATAACGAGAGGCCGTGGCTGTGCCGAGCCAGGGCAGTGTGCAAGGACTTCATACCCGGACAATACAATACTCTTTGGCAGTTTTCATACCGTGTTTGTGTCTTGGGCCAGAACTGAGGTGTATGGACAACTTCAGACCTAATGCGAGAACTGAAGGCTGCCCTGGACACTGCAGGCACCTGCTGTGTCACTCGTTCTCCCCACACACTGTGTGTTCAGTCAGGACGCTCGTTTCAGAAGTATATAATAAAAATAGACCGAAGATGGTAAAAGTAGAAAGACCACAAAGCCAAGGAAAAGGAAACTGTCTGTGTGGGACGAGAGTGTACATTGGATTTTGTTCCATAGACTGCTTGCTTTTTCTTGGTGTTCAACATTTGCAGTTAAGATAACTTCAGGGTGCAGATTACTGGTAAATGGACAATTAAAAGCAAAAAAAAAGAAGTATTCCGAGAATGTGCCAAGAAACTTTGTTCAGCAGCACATCCCTGGTGGCATAGTCAATTACAGGAACACTGAGTTTTAGTAGAAGATCTAAATAAAAAGCTGTGTAACATTCTTAAGGATTTTTTTTTTTTTTTTTTTTTTTTAAGATACACAAGTCTGAAGAAGGACCAGATTGGCAAAAATCACTCTTTCAGGCACCCAGAAAGGGGACAAAACTCAAAGGAAAACTACAGACTTTTGCTTCACTTCTGTTTAGGTTTCTGGCATGCTTTTTGAAGTATCATTAAACTCAGTGAAGAAAAAATTATGGATGATCTAGTCCTGCTAAGCTCAATGTGTCTACGTGTACATATTGTAAAACTACACATGAAGTTTACCTTGAAGGATAAAATGTGTAGTACATCTACCACATCTACCCTTAAAAGACATACAGGAAGATGGAGCTGACCACTCCATTGGGTCACGGCTGTATGCTTCATGAGAGCTCAAGGTCATAAAAGAGGAAAGTTGGAAGACATGCAATGAGCTGTAACACGTTTCTTCTTCCTTAGCCTGTTTTCTAATTGTCTGGTAAAGTTGGAAGGTGCATCAAAGAGGAATAATTTGCAAGTGTCATAAAGGCCCTTTCCAAGCTTGGAGACTTGGAGGAACTGCAGAGGGACCAAGCAGAGGTGCAGCCTAAGCTCATCTTGGTTGGGCAGGAGGACCCAGAAGTGGCAGCATGCACACTGAACTTTCTGGCATATGGTTTAGAAGTCAGAGGGCAGGGGAACTATGAATTCTTCCTATCAAGCCCAGTGGGAACTGTCTCCTGGCAAATGCATCAGAAGAATCCTACCTTGGCAAACACACCAGTGGGAAACAAAAGATATTTTTCTGGCAGTGGAAAGAATTAAAGCAGCTGGAGAATGAAGAAGCTCTGGCCTCAAAATTTAGACCTCCTTGAGCATCTCCTCTAACTATGGCTATGAAAAAAAGACATGTGTACTTCAACAGTAATAGACAGTGAGGGCTTGTAAAGCTTTGCAAGTAATGAGGTTGGTACCCTAAGTTTTCAGTGACACACAATAACTGTGGATTTCAACCCGCAGTTTTCAGTTTCATTAACCAAACTAGGTTGTGAATCTGAGAAGGTGATCTTTGGCTACTCAGAAATATCCAAGATGTATGAGCCCAAGACAAGTAAATCTAGAAGAGTCTTTAAAAAATCTTCCTCTAGACAAGAAGACAATCCAAAATCTCGTCTTTATTTTTTACAAAAAAGGTACTTTTCTCCTGTTAAGCTCCAGCAATGTACGAGATTATGAAATTGAGATCGATAAATCTTCTCCATTTGGGAACAGGGGAGAGAATTATGTGGTGATCAGTCATGTAGCAGGAACAATATATTTACAGAGCACAGTAGTCTTTGGCAAGCTAAAACTGGAGGTCTGGGATATCCCTTCTGTGCCTTAGGAGCCATCTTCTCAAGTGTAGGGCTATGAAAGAACTTCTACCTTGTTTTCTTTCTGCTGAACAGAAAGTGTCCTCTAATCTGCCCTTCTTCAGCAGGATTCCCATTGCAGCAATATGTATTTTAGAAACATGTCTCTCCACAGGAGACCCAGAGAAATGTGAGGGAAAGAAGAATACTGCAAGAAGTTGGCAAAAGGTTGCAGCTGAATTTAGAAACCAAAAAACAGTCGTGTAAGCCTTTTCTTCTGATGTACAATCACAAATATATAACATTACATGCATTTAAAGGACAAAAGCTAGTTACTTTTGCACTGAATTATACTGCTCTTCTTGAGCCCTCATGATCTTCACCAAAGAGGGTTTTAAAAGTATGAATGTCAACATGTCAAATGCACTGCTGCTTTCCACCTAAGTTGTAGCTCTTGTTTACATAGGCAGAATGCAGCCAAAGCTTTGAAAGGTCTGTCAGTTCAACCCAATGGAGCATGAATCATTCTGTCAGGCACTGCTCTAAATGCTCTTCCTTCCTTCCTTCCTTCCTTCCTTTCTTTTCATTTGCTAAGGTCAGATAAACAGTACCAGGAACTGCATGTGAAGCTCTTCCCTACATGATAAAAGACAGGGCCCTTTCTACGAAGTCCTTGGATAACTGCAATCTGAAGCTGAAAGCAGAAAACTCACCTCAGAGCTAGGCACAGATATACGTCTGCTTCTTATCAAGTGTCTTCCTCTCCTTCCCTGCCCTCCTCAGCTTTATTTATTTCTTTTTTTGGTCTGAATCTGTGTAGATTTTTATCATCAGGAGATAGAAAATAGTGTTTACATAGTCTAACACAAACACCATGGAAAGAAGACTGTGGAAAAAAATTCACAATACTAGTGATTACCAGTTAGTGATGAATGTAATATGCATTCTGCCATCTACTCTCTAATGACTGAAATATTATCCATAGATGTCTGCATGTGCATCCTTGCACTTCATATATTTCAGGACAACAAAAAGCATGCATCTGCCCTTTTTCAAAACAGGCATGTCCTTACACCTTGTGGATCAGCAGTACACACAGAAATATCAGAGCGTGATGCAAAATGGCAGTAGGAACCGCAAATCTGCAAATTTAACTACCTTTTAAGAAACAACCATGTCTATTCTGCAGGCAACACATGCATTTTTCACACCTCTCGAGACTCATGAACAAAACCTGTCAGTTCACAGCACCCCCAAAATAAGAATGTGTAACTACTAGGAAGCTCAACCACCATGAATAGCAAGCTACAAATTTCAGTAAATGGATAAAGACTTTACCATGTGAAGTTGCAAGAGGTAAATGCAGCCTGAAGGAAAGACAGAGGTGCAACTCCAAGCACTGTGCTTACGCACTTAGACACTAAAAAGAGCACTGCCTGTTGAAGGCAGAGTGTTTTCCAATTTTACAGAGAGAAGCAGAACGAAATGTAATGGCTGGAAGATGCAGCTAGACAAAATTGCCTCCAAAATACGAAATATTTTCCTAGCAGAGATGATGAATACTGGAATGTTTTCCAGGAGAAGTCATGCACTGTCACGTTAAAACGAGGGAAGGTACGGCGCGCTTTCCTTTAGCTTCTGTGAGACGCATTACGGGTCAGAATAGATGATTACAGAGTTCCCCTCTGGCCTTACTATCTATGAATCTGCAAATTTTACAGCTTCATCCTGTGGGGCCAAGGCATTTTGGCTCCCAACCAGCAACGCACTTACGCACATGCTGAAATGAAAGCTTACTTCCTTTACTGGCTGCAGGCCAGTACGATCAGCCTCCGGCCGCAGAGTCCCAACCATCTTTAGCTATCTCAATATTTGACCACTTTGGGGATTCTTTTCTGCAGAAGCCATCAGAGACTTACGAGGGCTGAGGCTTGATTAGCTACAGTTTCGGAAGCAACTGGATGTCTGTATTTCTGGCTTACCTGGCACCTATTTTTCTAATGTAAAAACAGGTGAAAATGCCTGTTGAATTTTTTATTTAAGTTAGTAAAAATTTAAATCAGATTTGGAATGACAAATAAAGTAAAGTTGCTCTAGAAAGATGAATAGCAGAAATTAACTTTTGCCAAAGTTAATTATTCACTAGAGAAAAAGGATGAAATCAATACTTGTGTCTGAAAATACTAAACACACTGCAAAGAACCTATCTCTACCCATTCTGAACAGTGCACTAGAAAAAAAGAAGTGATGAAACAAGTAGTTTTAAACATATATACATACACAAACATATATTTCTATACCTACATATAAATACCTAAATATCATTAAGAAAAATTAATTGGAATATAGTAAAAAAAACCCCAAAAACTAGGAAAACAGTCCTCTGCTCAGAAACAATGACTGAGGACAGATTTTTTACAAATCAGAGGCCAATTTGGCAACATATAACATGGAAGTCATTTGGCCTAATTGGAAATTCTTTAAAATTAAATTATCTTGACAGTACATACAAGTAAAAACTTCTACATTTCCTCTTAAACTCTGCATGACATCCTTTGAAGCTGTCATTTACTTTCAAGCAATAGTGTTAGTTAAATTGTGGCATTTCCAAACTATTACTTAGAAGAGATTCTTTCAGGTATCCATAACATTCTTTCTATCTCTATCCTCCTCCCCCATAAGTGCCTTACATAATTCACCATAGTACTTTGATTGGTCAAAGATTGGTTTTGTGGTTGTGTTCTTTTTTTCTTTTCTTTTTTTAGTGTGATAATAGTCAATGTATTAGTGAGAGTTTCCTCTACTCACAGCAAGGATCCTTCTGCCCTTGATTAAATAATAAGTTATAAGATGTATTTTCAATGGAGAACAAAATTATGGATGAGGAAATTCGCAGCTAAACACAGATCTGCAAGATTTAATTTTTTGATTTAAGATAAGTGAAAGTAGATTAGTCTAAAGTGATTTTAAAAAATGAACAGAAATAAAATGTACTCTGATTCGCCTTGTAATAGAACAGCATTAGCGTAATACAACCTTGTTTTATCCATTGTAAGTGGACACGGAGGTGCAGTGAAAATAACCTTAAGCATTTTAGAGAAAATAACCTTTAACTAAAGCTCTGAACAGCGATTTGAGAATGAATAGGAAAAACATTTCTAGCTTTTTGTGCATTCTCTTCCCATAACTGGGAAGATCCAGATAGAAGATAGTCCTAATAATGATTCAGAGCTACTTAAATATTCGTCTTTTTCCCTTTGTCCAAAGCAACTATATCAGAATGCTAATTAAAACACAGACCTGTCTGATTTGGTCTCCTGAGGTGGCAACAGAGCTGTCCCATAACGAGAAGTGGGTGTTGTAGGGGCACTCAGTCCAGAGTAAGGTCGTGGAGAAGAGTAAGAGCTGCTGCCATAGCTATTGTACCTGCAAAGGTGAGGGGAAAAAAAAGCAGAAAGGGAGAGGCAGAAAGGGAGACAAGAAATAGTCAGCAAGCAGGCATGTTTAGGGGATGGGAATGCTGCCATATCCCAGAACTTTCCAGACATCCAACTTCTGAAACTTTTCCTCTAACCTAAATTCAAGATATGGAACCTATCATCTCCTTCTAATATAAGCCATGCCATGAAAATACTGGATTTGAATACTAAGCTATTGGTATGAAGATTAATGAGAGATTAGAATGGTCCTCTTAAGCGACTGTTTTGAGTTGGAATACTTAAATCACTGCTCATTCAGATTTATTCACTGTTTTGGGAGCTGATACCCAGCCATTAAAGAAGGGACTGAAACAATACATGTCAGCAGTATTCGTTCCCAGAAATTAAGGAAGAAAGCAGCACACCGCAGGCATCATCTGAACACAGGTGTACATGATTGGTAAATGTTTGCATCACAAATGAAAAGCATCCACATTCTTTTCAATTAAAGTGGGTAGTATATACTTGCTTTCCCCTCCTCCAACGTATGTCATAGCGTATGTGTTGTATCCTAGAATATCTGTAAAAAATCATCTCCATGGCTAAAAAGACATGTCTCCAGAAGCCTGGCTTTAGGAATTTCTACCAGCTTTTGCTCTATTAAAAAAAGCAGAAAGTAAAAAATAACAACAAAAAAGAGTTTACTTCAATGTGAGGTTTGCTGATCAAAGAGAAATTGCTTCCAGAACTCTCAGAATGGGCCACCTCCCCAGAGTTGCTTGTAGCAATTTTTTCATCCTGACTCTTGTAATGAATAGAAAAGGTGATGGCATTGCTTTGCTGGCCTTTTAACTATCACATTTAAACGGCTTGACAAGGAGACATAGAGATACCTGATCTGGAAAACTGTTAACATTTCTTTTCACAGAAAAATATCACTTTCCCACCTGCAAAGCGTATGGTGCTGTGCTGGTAGTGTACATGGTTATTTCATCCAAATGACAATTGAAGGAAAACTTCTTTTTCCTTATTATAAATCATACTGTACAATAAATCCTCCTTTATCTTTTCCTTTTTCTGCCTCTTTTTCTCCCACATGCTTCAGTATTAAGTTTCTCTTCACTCAGCGATTTTTCTTGAAAATGCTGGTTGGTTTTCCCTGAGCTCCATTTAACGTACTCATTTAGTCATGCAAAATTTCATTCAAAGTTTCAGGCTTCATTCCTTAGGGTACAATAGCATTATGGAATGCCAAGGCCAGTGTTAAAATCAAATTTTCATTTAGGAGTTTTACACACACACACACACACACACACACACACACACACACACACGTGCAGACACACACACATAAATATGTGTGTGTGCGGAGGAAGGAATCATGCTCTATACAGAAACCTTCTTATTATGTTTCCTTTTCTGACACAGTGCAAAATGTTGTTTCAGACCAGGGGATTTCAATGAGGCCATAGCTAAGATACTCACAATTAAAAATAGAGCAACACTACTTCTATAGGGTCAGAGTAATAAATATCAGCAAAATTAAATTTAGAGGGACTTGCACGTGTACAGGGTCCCTCTAAATCAAATTCAGAGGGCAAAAGAGAGGCTAGAACAGTAGAAAGTCAAAACCTCATTTCCCCATCATGTCAGATGTACCAATGCAAGCTATGCTAGCCTTGTCCCAGAAACCTTCCCTTTGCAGAGATCAGATACCTTTGCAGATATTCAGGTATTTACCTTTTTTATTATTATTATTATTTTATTTTTTATGATTACATTCCTGCCCAACTCGCCCAAGCTTTGCTCTCCTTTTTCTCCAAATAAACCCAACACAATACTCCCTTCACATCACACCCTCTATCCTATATGATAAAGAAAAGCACAAGGATAGTCAGAGGAAAAGAAAAGCCACTGGAGAAACACTAAATTCAGCAGAGAAAGGGGGTATTTGCTGATTTACTTATATATTCTTTCTAAAAGGTGTAATTGTAATAGTAGCAGTAATGAGACAGCAGTAAAGGAGTGGGAAAGATCTAAGGGAAATTAGCAAATATGCAGGAAAATATGAATTTGGAGGGATCCTAGAGTTCAAAGAAAGATATCTAAACTAAGTCCTTTATCAACAGTTATTTGGATTCAGATGCTTCTCAGAGAAATGAAAAAACAGCAGAAAGCAAACACCCACCTATTAGAAGAGAAAGATCGAAAATTAAAAGGATCAAAGGAATCAAAATTTTTTTTCACATGCAGAAATTCAGAAGGACTGCTGGAGAAAGGAAGAAATAAAAATGCTCGTAATATATGTGTAGATTTATAACATCTAGGGAAAGGAAGCTAAAAACCATCAGCTTTTTAAAGTGATTCTCTAGTATTACTTTCTGTTTTATCTATTGTTGTCTGTCTTATTTCAAAACAGACTGAGACAAAACAAAAAGTTTTACATGTTTGTAAATGGCTAGGAGAGTGGAATTGAAAATTAAAACATGACCATACATTGTAGAAGGAAACCTACATATTTCAAGTGCTGTATGTGCTTTGTAAGGTTTAATCTAAATCTAGTTGAATTAACATGTATCAGGGATATGCGGTGTAATCTAACAGCAAATTTGAGATCCGTCAGTTCAGCCTCTGAAGCCAAGATTTCACCTTTGAATTCCATATGCTGATCTGATCTCTCAGTTCTGTATCAAAAGAGCTCCATTAATTTTCAAGAAATCACGACCGCAAATCATGACTGTTGTAAATGAGAACAAAATAATGTTCCTACACACGATCTCCTGAATCACACATTGTTGATCTACTGCTGGACAGAGGAGGCCGGGTTACTTATTAACTGTAGACCTTGAGGAGGAATAAGATGAAATAAAAGCAACAAAGGCGATGGCAGAATATCAATCAAATAAAAATATAGGCTTACATGACTAAAACTAATGCAGTATGTTCTGGAAATAATACAAGACAGAAAGCACTTTATTACCACTATAAAACTCTTGAAAGGTGTTATTCATTTATCTAAAAATTAATATCAGCTGCATAAAATCTACCTGTTTTCCCTCATCACTTCTGCGTCCTTTTCTTTCAGAGATGCTGGAGTTTCTTCAAAGTCATATGAGAAGAGGTGAAAAGGAGTGTGTGGTACATAAGGTAGTTTCTCTACTGTCGGAGATGCCTTTGGAGTAATGGATGCTGATGAATTTTGGGAAGAGTTTAGCAAAACTCCCGCAGGTGAAGATGGTGATGAATGAACAGAATTATGACGGGAGATAGATGAATCAGGCACCGAAGAGGAGCTGTTGGAAGATCTCTTTGCTCTAGAGCAGAGTAGAGGCCTCTCAGATGGAGAAATTGCACTTGAGACAGTTGAAGCATCAGAGCACTGTGAAAAGTTCTCATTCGTAAACTCATGGGCAGCTGGAGCCCCACTGCAGGAGGAAAATGTTGTGAGGAAGGGAAAATAGAGGCAGAGAGAAATGGGGAAAAGAGAGATCAATAGATTATAGTGTCTGGGGAAAAATAAAGGCTTGCAGAATCAAACCAAAAAAAAATCCATAAATGCAGATAATCTCTTTTTTTCTTCTTTTTCTTTTCTTTTTTTTTTTAATTAAAGATTCTCAAATCTTTGTATTCTGGTAGGGTTTTTCTTGTGGTCAGAAAAAAATGAGAGAAGGGAGGGATTCAGCTAAAAGGAATGCAAGGCATTTAATTTACAGACTTTCAGAACTCTGAATTTTGATTGGAACTTTGTTTTCACATCCATTTTCTGCACTATCTTCACGCAGCCTGTTAGATGGGAAGAACAATCAATCTCAGCACCCTAGATGATGTGGCACACAGAACAGAGATATTGTAATACACTGTCCGAGGACAGCTCAGGTCCTCAGAAGGCCAGGTGTCATTCTCATCTTTCTTAGATACTATCTATCCATTTGATATTTTACTAAAAACCCAGAGACACTCATTCACCAAAGTTAAAAACAAAAAGTGCCAAATCCGTATTCTTTAGTCAAAATTAAGGCTTAAAGCTCATTTGAAAACAACATCTTACCAAGTTGTTTGCCTAGGTGTGAAGCTACTAAATTATCTGAGAGTCTTCATCCCATTTGATCACTGTGCTGGTGTTAGATGAAGACCATTAGAGCTACCTGTACATTTAGTGCAACAAAAAAATGTGTCTTGCTCTAATGTAGCAATGCGCTGCTGAACTACAAAAGGAAGAACAGCAGGACAGGTGAAAATCCATGTATGCACTCCTGGCTACCTCCACCATCTCCAGCGTGAGCACTGCCACGGGCTCTGAGCTGCGTCACGCGGCAGGCAACTGCTTTGATTTTCCCTGGACCATCTCTGCCTCCACCTACACAGTGTGCAAGCAGCTGGACCTCCTCTTTCGGATTGCCGTAGAGTCACACAATATGTTATTCAATAGGATGTACAGGATCACACATAGGATATAATAAAGTTAATCATTAGGTGTATATACACCCAAAACAGAAAGGCATTGGGTAGGCTGAAAAACTTGGTCTATTTTTGCCAGATATGCATGACAGCAATCAGTGAAGCCAGACCATTTCTACCCTGTCAGGATTTAAAATAAAAGGCCAGAATACCCATCATTTTTGCTATACTCTAGTGACAGTGAAAGACAATATTTAGGAAAGTCATCTGAGTATCTACCACCTCTAAATGACTATACTTTCAAAAGAATGATGGTCTATAAACACATTATGGCCTGTATATGGCTTTTAGACCCTGTTTTTCACAATATTTAGTACATCCATCTGATTCAGTGTGTTAGCTTTTGACTTTTAAGCTTTTGGATTTGAGGAAATTATCACTTTTGAAATTTCAGGCAAACTTTGGCTAGATTTGCAGACTGGAAGATATTAATAACAACAGTACAGTATTTTCTTTGGAATTTGCACATTAAACAGCTTCCTTTCTTCCTTCCATGCTGTGTAATATCTGCATGAATGTGGTTGATTTAAAAAAAAAAATCCAATCTCA